TAATAGGAAAAAAAGAACATGAGACTGTAAAAACTATATTATATCTTTTATGCGATCTGTACAACCTGCGTCTTGTAAATGTCTTATTTGAATAATTAGGATATAAAAATTATATTTATATCAATGCAACTGGAAGTTATTGTAAGAAAAATATTAATGAAAAAAATATATTTTACAAATATATAATTTGAATTTATTGCATATAATTTTAGTGAAACAAAGTACTAATATTAAACGTGATGAAATTAATATAATGAATATTATCAATGATAACACTTTTAATCTGCATAATAGCCTTTTAAATAATGACAATAGGTATATGAAAGTTACTCTAAAGTCTAAGCTAATAGGAGTTGCCAGGTAACTAATTTCAGCTATCACAAATTTCAAACCTACTTAAAAGATATTTTTAGCAAAAAAAGTACACTGTATATGGCGTGAATATGGTAATTATTATTATTATTATTATGGTTCAAGTTTTAATTTGCATGAATTTATAATTACATTGTTTAAAAAATGGTCATCCATTGTTCTATGTCCTGTGTCCCTTTTACCACCTCTCCCAAATCCTGCTCTGCCTTTCATTCACTCAAGCTTGTCAAGTAGGTTATGCATTGTTTTTGTCTGTTTAAATACTTTTATGTGCCTAACAGAAGGGAGGGAGACCTTTTAAAATTTTTTTTTTTTTTTTTTTTCATTCTCTGAAAAAATTTTTTTTTAAAAAGTTTATTTACTTAAATATTTTGTCTTAAGGTGAAAGTCTATTTATTGGTCAAGTGGAGAACTGGACCACAAAATTTATAAGTTATTGTTTCATGGGACACTGCTTATGTAGACTAAGTGGGTCACGTGATGTAGGCATGTGAGCCATGCAGCTTTCTGTGTAGACATATATATGTTCTTTAGTGTTTGTTATCATCAGCAGAGAATTAGCATGGAACAGTTCTATTTTATTGTTAAGTTATAGTTTTTAAATAAATAATCTTAGGTGCCCAATAGAAATGGGATAAGTTTTTTTTTTTTCTTTCTTTCTTTTCTTTTAGTATATTTTCCAAAACTCTCTCAAAAAGGAGAAATTATTATAGTTATCCAAGTTTTTTCTTTGCATGCTCTTATGATTGTTTTGATAAGTCATTTTATTTTGGGGGTTTGAATTCCTGTCCTACCCCTTATTAAGTGCTCCCTTCTTGCATTAGTCAGGTTGAAAGTAGCTCTTTTAAAAAATAATAAAGCAGTTGAAGAATGTATTTTCCAAAAGTACATCACTTATTTTTCAATTCCAGGAAGATTGCATAAATAAACTTTCAATTGCACCACATGAAAAAGAGATTGCCTTAAAAACAAAGCTACTAGTTTGATACTAGTTATCTTAAACACACAAAAGTTTTTCAGTTCTTGAAATGGTAACTATAAACCAAAATGATGTAGCTACATTTTTATCAGCACAGTGAGAATCAACCATATCATCTTTTGTAGCTAAGTATAGCCTCATACAAGGCCATAAGTCTACCACATGAAGAGTAGGTAAATAATTTTTGTTTGCTGTCTAAAGAATATTCCTTGGGTGATTTTAATTTACAGTGTGTAAATTGATTTTTGATTTAGTCTGTACTAATTTATCTTCTGTCTTCAATAAGGAGATAGGTTTGGCCATCAGTATGACATTATAACTAAGACATGTGGAATGCCAGGTGAGTTATTTTGCAGAATAACAGGTGGTTAAATTAGAATAAACATTGTTAATCTGCTTATCAATGTTCTTTCACTGAATAAACAGTTTAGCACCTTCATTTCATCATATTGTATATTAACCTCAATTTCTTTTCTCTGTTATCTAAAAGGATCTAAGCAGTTTGGCACAACACCATATTTATAGCAAAGACCAAGCAAATTGCTTGCAAGATGAGCATATTTACAAATCCAACATTGTAGCAAAAAGAACACACTGAAATCCAGCATTGTGGGACATGAGGAATCCTGGATTAGGGGTTTTGCTAGAATAGAGACCTGGTGAAGTCACTAGCTATAATATGTACTATAATCATATTTATATTCTAATCCAAGTTCACTTTGAAAAATATTTTCCTGTTTTTAATTTCTATCACAGCTTCACATCAAAGTGACTAACATTACCAAGTTAGTACAAATCATTTTCTTAAGAAACCAGCATGAATGGTAGTCCAGAGACACTTTCTGTTGAATATGACAAATAAGTAAAAACTCCCCAGCTCAAAAGAGTTTTCCTTGGTCACCAAAGATCTGGGGAGGTGGTGTTATCTGAATAAAACATGACATTCTTTGTTATAACTAAATCCAGTCTTTTTTTTTATTGATTGTTTCCTTCAGTTGGTATAACTATATACAGAAATTGCTTGACTCGAACATTTATGTCTCTGCAAGGAGCTAAAATGAGGATTCTTTTCCAATGCCATCATATGCTACCTCACTATTTTGATTGATGATTTTACTAGTGTTTAGTGGTGCTATATTTCACTTGCCACATGATTTCTTGCATTCCATGTTGTTGTAATGCATCCACTTTTCATTGCTGGCAACAGTTTGTTTAAAATACAAAACATTTAAACTTTTTTTTGTTTTGTTTAATTTCTATCACAGCTTCACATCAAAGTGACTATAACATTACCAAGTTGGTACAAATCATTTTCAATATTTGATTTTTTTTATATTTTGTGTAATATTGTTGATGTTTCCACATTATATATGCATAGTTTAGCACAAAGCCATATTTATGGTGAGGATCAGGTATATAATTAATGGCTTGCAAGATGAGCATTGTAAAAAAAAACATATTTCAATTCTGAAGGATAAAATTATAAATTCTCATTAATCTTGCATTGTTGGCATTTTAGGATTAGGGATTCTATTGGATCACTGGACATTTGACACATATTTCCATATTCAACTTGGTAAATACATCAACAAGATTAACAACTACTTTAACTATTGAACGTTTTTTACCAAACACTGAAACTATAAGTCACTAGCAAGCCAACCTTGACTATAATCATATTTATCATCTAATCTGAGTTCACTTTGAAAAATATTTGTTTGTTTTTAAACCAAATCTTTATGCAGCTTAATACTTATCCTTACACAGAGCTTAAACAAGTTTATCAACTCTTTGTCTTATTGTGAACTTCTAGTCATTTTTTTTTATTTATACATGATTCTTTTTATTTACAGTCACTAAAGAAAGAGAAACTGAAACAATGTTTCTTGTTTTCATATGAATCATCAGTGTACCATTTCCTTAGACTTTTTATAGACCTACTACTGGTAAATTTCTCTAAGAAGTTCAACCATATTCAATGAGATTACCTGGATGAGATGTTAGTGACAAGCAACCAATCTCATTCATCAAAGGATAACATCTTAAAATGATTCTGTTAGTCAAGGGAGGTAAATTAAAAATGACAATTAGTGATAAGAAGATGGTATATAAGTGCAGCTGTGAAAGGGTTAATGCAAGTACAAAGCAGGAAAGAGAGAAAGGGAGGAGATTTCTTTTGTGAGCAACAACTTCCAAGTGACCAAAACAAATATCTCTCCTATTGTCAGCAATGTTCTTATGTCTAATTGGTCACTTATAGTGAAAGAGCCTTGAAACTTTATACAAATAAAATATGAATTTTGCTATTTTTCTATAAATCATTTCTGCTTCATTTTCTTTCAGTGGGGCTCTTAAAACTATAACTTACAATATCTAAAAGATCTTTCTCTTTTACTTATCTATGTCTGTAGAAATTTGAGTCTCTGTATTCTTGATTTTTGGGTGGGTGGTGTGAAAATGAAAAATAGAGTTGTGGCCAGAGATCTGTCTTCTCAAACTGACATTCCTTATTGCAACACAGACTTATGTCTACAGTAGAAACAGAGTAACCCAAGGAGTTCTTTGTTAAGGCTCCCCTAAAATCAGAACTTTTCTTATGTGTTGTTTTTTGTAAGAAAGAAAAATAACACTCACTGATCATGACACTTACATGTCATAGCCAAAGAGAATGAATGTATTACAATTATGGCTGAAGCTAAACGAGAACAACTGTTGATGATGATGATGATAAAATGTAGAAAAATAAGGGAAATTTTCTTGTATTTTTGGCATCATGCCAACATTTGTTTCTGCAGTCAGTGCTACCAAAATACTAATATTTCAGTATAATAAGTTAGCAAAATCAAAATTATATCTTAATTCTCAATAGAACCAAAGAACAAGTAAACAGATCAGTGAAGGTTAATTATATATTTGACATCATTTCTAATCTAGAATTATTATGACAACAATAGAAGCTTATTGGTTCAGCTATATCACTACTGGTTAAGGTTAGGGAAATAGTTCTTACTCAACAGATAAGCAAATCATTCAACAGGGTGGTCTGAAAGTATTGTCACCCCCTACCAAACAGCAATGTGAACAATAGAAGAATAAGTAAACAAAACACATATACTGGATTCAGTTGATTCACTTTCATTGATGCTGTCATATATCGAGATATCGAGAGGGTCTGTATGAACACCAATATTTTCGGGGGTACAAAATAATGTTTAGCCATGTCCTGATATTTTATGAAGCTGTGCTTTGTTGATTGTTGAAAAGGCTCTCCAAACAGCATCCTTCAACTGATATGTATTCTGGTATCATTCATGTGAAACTCACTTTTTGATGATACCCCACGGGGCATTAAAAAAGAAAATTATATTATGTAAGGATGACAAGAATTTCAGACCACTTTGTACAATGTCAGCTGTTTGTGCTTCACTTTGAGAGAAGAACTTCCTTTATTCACTGAAAAGATGGCTTCAGATTAAGCAATAGCAGATTATAAGAAAATAAAAACAAGAACAGCTTTTCAACAATTTTCTGTTCACATTAACAATGATACTACTACCAAAACAGTAGTAGATTACAGATAACTAGATGAGAATAGTCAATCTGGAGGAATTTCCAGAGAACAAAGTGACAAAATTCTATAACCACTTACCTGTTTCCTTGTTGATGTCTTCTTTTTTGATAAACTCATAACTTGCACGGAATCCCATGTCTATGCCATCGCTGTCTGAATGGAACAGAATTTTCACTCCTCTTTCAGTGAGTATAGGGCCTGGATTAGCTTTGCCACAGTAACGTCGGATTACTGAATAATTATTGGGGCCCTCAAGTTGCTGGTAAATTTCAATGTAATCTGTTGCCTTGCAGCTAGAATAAACCAAAAAATTAATGAATATTCAACTAAAATATATGAACATTACTTTGAAATGGAATTTATTTCCTTACAACTGGAGTTACATTATGTTAGTAAATAAAATTGATAAGTAACGCATATATGAAAGTGCATCTAATATATAACACTCAAAATATGGAAATCAGAAAATAAATATATATAAAGTTGGTATGTAAATATTACATAAAAATATGTCATCAAATAAATGCAGTTTTATCATGGCATTTATCCACATATCCATTTGAATGCAATGTGGCATAGAGCTGCGTTTTAAGTTTTATTCTGTAAAAGTTGTTCAGCTCCCTCATAATTTATGTCTCAGGCATCAGAAGTAAACTTCACCATCACTCTTTTAGTCAGAGTGGAAGAGCTGCCTATGGAGGCAACATCCTAGAGCTGAGTTTTAAAAAGCCAACTCTTCTGGGTCACCACACCTCCATCTAGAACTGGCATTTTGTGCTGCAAACCTACATAAAAATGGAGGTTTGTCATTTATATCTACAAGTATGCACCTTATATATTGGCTAAATTAAGAGTTAATGTATTATGGAGATAACATTTCCTTATCTACCTTGGAAAATCAAATTCATTTCCAATCTGAACTTTTTGTGATTTTAATAACTGACTGTTTTGTCAACAGGTTTTATAATTAAATTGCTTAATAATTCAAATAAAGTGATAACTACCTTAGCATTGTAATCACAGCTTGAGAGGAAAGGGAAGTAAGTAATATAGACATTTTAAGAGTATATTTTGAAAAAAACTAAAAAAAAAGTTTTAACATTATAACATGCTATATATGAAATAAATGACTATAGAAATGTTTAAACTTATATATTAGGACAGTGTTACTTACAGCATAAAAAAAAATCACTTAAACAGAAAAAAAAGAAAAAACGATGCATATTGCAGGATAACAAAGGAAAATTGCTATTTTTTTTAAGGCCCTGTCCCTTCAGGACGTAGGTGATCTTGATTCTCCACAGATTTATTTTCTTTATTATCTGTTAATTACGATGGATTACTTGGGAAGCTAGTAGAGTGGTTTCTTGATACTATTTCAACAGTTTAAAATTCAGAGTTTTACTTCTTTTAGACTGATTGCCACCCAAGGCTAGAGAATCCAGTTTACCCTGCTATTTAACTTATAGCTGGAAGGAGAAGAGACATGACTTTTCCAAGAACATTTTTGTGAACCTCATCATAGAAGACTAGCCCAGATTGTTAGTATATTAAAATAATGGATCTTATTTGATTACAGCACTGAAAAAAAGTTTTTTTTTTTTTTTCACTTCACCACTGCCATGACTATCATAGTTTATTATTTCTTTTTTTCTTTTATAAACAAGTTGGTCTACCTTGTACTTCTGGGATCTTCAAATGCATCATAGCATTACAGGATTAAAAAAAATAATCCACCTGACCTACAGGAGATTATTGATATAAGAAGCACGGGATTAAATCCTAAAAATACGCATATTTTTGCATTTCTCCATCAATTCTTGTACTTTTAAAAATGTCATATTTGGTGCTATATACATGCAGAAATTTGGTTGAATATGTGATTGCCTCCAAAAATGTTAATAAAATCTTTTCCCCTAATAATAATAATAATAATAATAATAATTTCTAATTTTGAAATATATTTTGGAATTTTAACTGAATTTGGCCTGTAAAAATATGCCAAAATCTACAGCACACTCTCAAATTGAAAAAAAAATTCTTTTCAATAATTTATCCTATCTTTTTTTTTTTTAATATTTGTATAAAATTTAAAATTTTGATGAAAATTCACCAAATTTTATTCTGTACAAAGCAATGGGAAAATGAAAATGAGAAATTCTGACTCCGTTCACCTTCATTGTACATTGTACATGTTTTTGGAAAAGGCATGAACTCATCTCTTTTCATTCCATTTATGAGTCAAATAGTAAGGTAGAGTGTGCTCTTGTGTCTTAATTTTCAATTAGTCTCAGAAAAAGACAACTCATAATTATTCAAAACTGTAAAGAAAAACAATCTTTTTCAAGAACATCTTATCTCATCTCTCAGTTTACAGATATAAAAAACGAGACTATGTAGTGATATAATTGTCTATGTCCGGAAGAGATATGACAATTACAGAGTATTTAATATTCTTAAAAATGACATGAATTTTAATTTCAATAATTATTAAATGAAACAGATTTGATTTTCGGCATTAGAGTGAAATCTGTAAAGTAACTGATAAACATTTGATTGGTATTGGTTTCTTTCTCAAGTGTATGCTCTTACGATAATTTCTATGTTGAACATGATTAATACTAAATCTAAATACAAATATTAATATAATTTTTGTAAATATTAGCAAGTCTGGTCTTTTGTGATTTTTATAAATGACTGTTTTCTCAAAATCTTTTATAATTAGATTGTTTAATTATTTAAATGAAGTCATTTTCTCCCTTGAAAGTGGTAACTATCTTAGCCTTTAAATCACAGCTTTGGAGTAAGGAGAAGTAATGTTGTCATTTTTACTTTGTTCTTTCAATGACTCTGATTTAGGCAATGAGTTCTCCAGTCATTATTAGTTTGTCTGAATATTCAAAGAGAAAAATTATATTGATTAATGCTCTTCAGTTGGGTGTTTCAGTTAACTGCTTTTGCACATCTTCAGATGCATGTTGCATCCACCAATCTTCTTTTCTTTCTTTCTTCCATCTTCACACAGCAAAAATTTATTTGGTACAGCAATTATTTTAGGACATATAAATAAAAATTTATCAGAAATACATTGATCCCTGTTAATGAAGAAGTCAATTGATTGATGCATTTTTTATGGTTTATCAACCATTTTCAGGTTATTTAAAACCAGAAAATATTTTTAGATTGTAAGAAGTTTTTTTTGAGATAATAATGATTTAGTGATACAAGTCTTACTAATTAATCCATATCTGGGGGAAGAAGAGGTGAATTCATACTTTTCCTAAGGGTATCTGTGCATAAGTGACTATAAGGAACTCAACTGGAATTGGAATTCTGCTCTCTGATTAACAATTCTGAGCCATTATCCATTACACCACCTGCACATCCAAGCTTACAACACCTGGTCTTCCCAAGCAGTCACCCATCTAGGTGGTGACCAGGCTTGATATTGTTTAACTTTGGTGATCATACAGGAATCAGTGTTAATGAACAAGTGAAAATCAGAGAGAAAGAATTGACAATTACTGGATATCCACACATATAACTAAGGAAAGCTGAAGAGGCCAGCATTCCAAATCTCTATCCAAATAACAAATAAAAGGATAGCAGTCCAAATAATTCATTGTCATCATAATTTAACCCAGAATGTCAAATTTTGAAAGTTTATTGATGGAAATTTAAGATTTGCAATGATGAAGATATTCTGAAAACCTAGAATTTTGGACAACTCTCGGAAGGCCAAAGAGCCCATCAAACAAAATATAGTGATCAAAAAATACATAAATATTTAAAAGAATAATAAGAAAAGGTAATAAGAAAAATTCAGTTAATAATTTTATATATCAGTTATTTTCAGTTGATATTTTTGTGACTCTTAGTGATTGGCTTTTTTTATTTTATTATATCTTGTCTTATTGATAACACTATAGTGTTCAAGACAGGAGAGGGCAAAATAAAAAGATCAAAAGAATAAGTGAAAGATCTTCAAATCATCAAGCAACATTGTCAAAAATTAGCCAAATGAAATTGTAAAATACTACACTAATTGTAATTGTTCATTTTATCAATCAAATCATTCATTCTATATTCTGCCTTGGGATCCACATTTGGAAACCACACAATTGGAACTAATAAGTGTATCAAAAAAGAAAATAATGAATTATAACGGCAATAATAATTTTGCCGTGTTGAGATATAATGTCTCACAGTCAGGAAAACAAAACTTCAATTCTCATTTGGATCCAATCACAATTTTTTTTATCATTTCAACCTAAGCAAGACAATAAAGCTACTAAGATGCAAATGATTACTGAGAGTGAAAAAGAGAAAGAGAAAACATTAGTAAGGAGAAAGGACAATAAAAAAGCAGGATTTAAAAAGACCAAAGATGGCAACTGACATTACATTTAAGTTTTTCCTGATTGTACTTGACAGGAAAACAGGAAGCCAGAAGAGCATTCTACAGTCAAGAAGTGCAAGAAAAGAAACTATTAGAATAGAACTTATGGTTACAGCTCACTATTTCGACAGTAAATTGATGAGACCTAACTGCTAATCTTGTATTATGCTTAAGTTCATGAAACTGATTTACCAAAGAGGAAATCTCCTCAGAAAAATTGCAATCAAAATATTTATAGAAAAAGGCACAGGGAAGCTACATTACAGCAGTGGGAAAGTGACTGAAGTTCAGGTGCCAGGTCAGGACCGATAACATTGCAGATTCTTTTTTTTTGTGGGGAGGGGGCGTATTTTGAGATACATAGAATCTTGAGATATATAGCAAGAGAAACAGACCAGATCAGGGATGAATGCTATACTTATAAACATGAAAGACAAATACTGGTGTAAAAAACTGTCTGGTACAATACAATTAACCACTTTCTTAACATTAGACTTAGCAACTGATTTGATATAATCATTCCATTTCATGTCAGTGGAAAACGTGAGACTGAGTAGATGCAATAAATTGTTCTCTTGAAGGTTGGCATCAACCTTGGTGATAGAGAGCTAAAATGATTCATTAAGATGATTAAAAGACAGCAGTTTCCTTTTTGAGGCATTAAAATTTACAAGTCATTTGTTGCCCCAGTTACCAATGGATTTAAGGTCAGTTTAAGCATCAGCTCCCAATTTGACTTTATTGATCCTATTAGACTTCCTATTCTGACAGGAGTAAATAGTTTTGTTGCTTTTGGTATTGAAGAAGAACAATTTTGTAGTTATCTCTTCAGTAGTTTCAATTGTATTAAATATATCACTAAAAAGATACAAAACATAGCCAAAAAACAATTTG